TCATTATGGATTGATTATTATATCTTTTTATTTTTTTTTCAGAACACAGAGGAGTCGATGGCAAAACAATCTGGTTAATAGTATGTCCTTTCGATAATAAAAGTGACTGATTACTTACAGCTGTTGACATCATACTGTTAAACTTATTCTCATATAAACATCGATAAACTCGACCATTTCCACTTGTAACTTGAGAACAAAAACGTTCACGATCTTCACGACATGCAGAATATAAGGCACGGTCAAGATGATAATCATTGGATTGCATTTCATGCAATCGAAATGTGTGTTTTAAACATTTTGGAGATAATTTATCCTTTTTTTTCGATAAACATGCGATGACAGCACCTTGATTATGTGGTATCTAAAGAAAAGAAGTTTAATTTTTTTTTTCTTAAGCATTTGATTGATATTTACAGTTTCGTTATCATCATCTAATCGTCCACATTTGAGATCTGTAATATCCTGCAAACATGCAGTAGCAAAGTATTCTGATAAACGCCAATCAGTAAATATAATTGATTCTAATTGATTGATATAATTACGACAAGATGGTTCAGTTATATTAGCCAAACGATCATACAAACATGAAACAAGTCGACCAGTTCCGCGTTCATCTGTATATTCATTGCATTCATCTAATAATTTAATGTCCTTTTCACAGAGTTTAATTGCTCCATCATCAAAACGTACATTATGTGTCATATTGTATTTAAATTTATAAATACGCTAAACATAATTTTCAAAAGAAAGAAATTAGATTAGTTCAATAAATAGAACTGTAATGAATATAATTTTACTTACATTTTGACACTCTTTGCTTATCACATCTGCAGCCTATATTTGAATAATAAATAATAAATATAGTTTTCAGAAAAATTATGTTTCTTTATTTTATATTGTAGAAAAACTCACATGATCAAGGTCATCAATACATTGTAATACTTTCAAATTAGAAATAAGTTTTGAACCACCTTTAACACAATATTTTTGTATATCAGCTCTACATTCTATACTATTAGCAAGTGATGCAGATAATGCTTGGGATTCAGGTAACCTTTCATTAGGGGAAGAAGATTTAACTGAAGAAATAGTACTTTTATTCGATTGTTGTACTCGAAAGTTTCACTTGCTTTGTAGGTGACTGCATAAACGATTGTTTACTGAAGTGAATGCAAAAAAATTTGAAAAAAAGCGACTGCTCGTATTAATTGAAGCGTAGCGTGGCCTTTCATGATTTTTGCTCTCATTTCATTTTCTAATAAATACTTGTCTAATATTTTTCTTTTTCTTTAAAAAGGTGTTAGTCACCTTAATAAACTCTAGCAATGTACTCATATTTCATGATAATGTTAGAGCATTGCATACGACATATTATTATAATGTTCTTTTTTTTCAGAACACAGAGGAGTCGATGGCAAAACAATCTGGTTAATAGTATGTCCTTTCGATAATAAAAGTGACTGATTA